TGCTGGTCCACCGTGGGGGTTGGTGGCTTGGCCGCTCCCTGCGCGCTCGCGTCGCTCCCAACCATTCCCTCCCGTGCTCGGTCCAGCGCAGACTTTTTCACCGGCTCAAAGCGGAAATCTACATTATCATTTATGGGCAACATGATGTTGGCAGAGAGAAGAGGCTAGATGACACTTTGAGATTCGGACCTGGAACCCGTAGTGATTTAGGCGGATTGTTCTGGCACCATCTTAGATCTTCTGAAAAACGTGGTTCCAATTTTGGAAGGCAACCTAACACTTAACTCGGGGCCAGCTTTTAACCGGGAGGCACCTTTTAACCCTAACCCTAGCCCTTCAACTTGCCACGTGAGCACATTGGTTATCAAACCGTGGTGCACTTTCCTTTTTTGGAATGATGCACCCACAGGCGACACACTATTGATTACAGATTCTGTTTCAGTCCGGTTTTGACTTTCGCTGCTTGGCGCTGTGTTTTGGATCACTTCTGCCAAGTTTGGCACGAATCTCATCCGGATGACGTAGACCGTTTAATACGGATTCGGAATCAGCGCTTTTGTTCGATCAAAATGTTCGTCTCACTTGTTTCGAAAACATTATGTGGGGGACAGGATTCGCGAAAACAGTGCGAACGCATGCGAAATTTCCTTTTAATGTCATTTTACACAAGGATGCGCCTAATTTGGTATCGATATAAGTACAGATTCGGAATCAGCGCAACTTTTAGAACAAAATGTTCAGACTAGAATTTTTAGAAAAAAGGTGTGGCGGAACTGAATCGTGCAAACAATGCAAAAAAAACGCGAAATTTCCCTTTAATGTCATTTTACACAAGGATGCGCCTAATTTGGTATCGACATACATACATATTCGGATTCAGCGCATTTTGTAGAACAAAATGTTCAGATTAGAATTTTTGGCAAATTTGGAAGGACCCTAACACCTAACCGGGAGGCAGCTTTTAACCCTAACCCTAACCCCTAACCGGGAGGCAGCTTTTAACCCTATCCTTCAACTTGCCACGTGATCATATGCGCCCGGAGGACGTTAGTCATCAAACAGTGGGGCACTTTCCTTTTTTGGAATGATGCGCCCACAGGAGCCTGATTCAGATTGGGCGTGTCCCATAGGTGCATGTGATCGTCGCGATTGGTTTGCATGCCATGATGCGGACTGGGGGAGGTGTTGTTCCGTGAAAACCGTGCGAAATGCACCTTTGATGTCGATTTTCTCAGAAATTCCGACGACGACCTATATTTTTTATTGCAGATCCAAAATCAGCGCAGTTGATAGTCCCAAGTGACAGACTTATCTGGTCGAGATCCATAGCGTGCGGAATGGCTGCAAGCGTTTTTGTGCGAATAAAGGGCAAAAAAGTGCAAAATTCGCCTTCAAACCCGATTTGGGCGAAAATTCTGACGACGAGGTATCAATATTTTTTCAGATTCGGAATCAGCGCATTTAGTAGGTATTAGTGACGTTTTCAAAAATGCACAATCGGGGTGTGTCCAAATTCGGAAGGGACCTAACACCTAACTGGGGACCAGCTTTTAACCCTAACCCTAACCCTAACCCTAACCCTAACCCTAACCCTAACCCTAACCCCTAACCAAGAGGCAACTTTTAACCCTACTTTATGTGTGTCCGAATTCGGATGGAGACATAAAGTGCGCTTGTAATTTCAGATTCGGAATCAGCGCGTATAGGAGATTGTGATCGCGGTACTGTTTCTGCTACAAACAAGGAAAGAACGTGGATTGTGACAATTTTGCAACATTCACATTCCGCGTCGATTTGCACGACAACGAGACAAACGAGGTGCACTTTTTATGACAGATTTGGAATCAGCGCACATCGTGGACAAATGTTCGCATCAGAATTGCTCTGCACAATCGGGGGGGTTAGGGGGAAATATTGGAGACAACAATGCGACAACATGAGAAATTCACCTTTGACGTCGATTGTCACCAAAACGAGCACGATGACGTATACCTTTTATTGCAGATTCGGATTCGGCGCACTGTATAGATGGATGTGAATGTCAACTTTGTTCTGGAAAGTCAGATGAGGGGAAGTGGTTTGGGGAAACCATGGTAAAACCGTGCGAAATTCACCTTTGAGCTCGATTTGCGCAAAAACGAGCGCGATGACGTATACTTTTTATTG